AGGTTTTTACCTCGAATCTCGAATAGGTCGTTAGTTTGGTTAGCGACGACCATGGAGTCTATGAAGGCATGGATGTGTCAGCAACCTACTTTAACAGCTAGATGTAATCATGCGATAAGTGATTCATACTCTGACTCATTATTTGAAACCGGGAAGTCGAACCTTAGAGCATATGTTATCTCCTCTTCTGTTGGACTTACTAATATCAAACCGACTCCCACCCCCTTAACACAAGAAGATTCGTCAGTATATAACTTCCATTGCTCGTTTCGTGCATGTTATATATTTGCATCTTTAGTTTCCATGTTCCCTACTAATGATACTTCCTTGCGGCCTGCTATTTCAACTATAAAGTTTTCTCGTACCTGTGCCTTAATGCTAGTTCAGGGTTTGAAGGTAATTTCATGTTCTCCCAATTCCATGGCCCATTTCGCTAGTCGCCCTAACTTTTACGGTTTTAGTATCACTTGTCGCAATGGAATTTTTGTCACAACTTCTATAGTGTGTGCTAAGACATACCTCCTCAGCCGTCTAGCCGTGTTTACCAGAGATAGTGTCAATTTTTCCATATCTGAATATCTGATTTCTTCTCCTTGTAATATACGACTCATAAAGTATATAGGTATTTGTTTGTCTTCTCTGTTGGCTACCAATACTGCACTGGTTGGTGTCCTTAATGCTGCTAAATATATTGTTATAGTTCCCCCATGGATTGGTAACGTTAGGGTGGGTAGTCCTATTAATGCTATTTTGAGTTTCTTGAATGCGTTCTCCGCCTCCTCTGTCCACCAGAAGTTCATTTTGTCCAACACCCTTTTCAACATTTTGTAGAATGGAAGAGTCTTTTCTGCACATTTAGCTCAAAATCGCCCCAACGCCGCTAATTTTCCATTTAATGGTTGTACTTCTTTCACCATCCTCGACGAGCACATTTCTAGTAGTGATTCAACCTTTTTTGGGTTTGCCTTTATTCCTTCCTTTGTAATGACATGTCCTAGGAATTTTCCTTCTTCTGTCGCAAACCATCACTTCTTTGGGTTTAGTTTCACGTTTACTGCTATGTCTTGTAAAAAATGGTCATCGTCTAGGCTCTTGATGACCATGTCATCCACATATACTTCAATGTTTCTACCTATTTATGCTTTGAAAACTTTGTCTACCAATCTTTGGTATGTCTCTCCTGCATTCTTCAGTCTGAATGCCATTTTTTTATAGCATAACGTTCCTCTGTTTGTGTGAAAAAAGGTTGTCTCTTCATCTCCTTTGTGCATATGTATATGATGATACCCTTTGTAAGTGTTCAAAAAACTCTTCCACTTGTGTCCATGTAAAGACTTGATCTTTTCATCTCTTGACGGTAACATGTAACAGTCTTTTGCGCATACTTTATTTAATTCTGGGAATCGACACACATTCTCTAATGCTTATCTTCTTTTTTGACCAACATCGGATTTGCTAGCCAGGACGGGAAAACGACTCTCGTACTATACCTGTACTGACTAACTTATCGACGTCATCGTTTATTGCTATATTTTTATCCTTGGACTGGCCTCTTTTCTTCTAGTGGACTGGTTTGCTTCCCGATCCGTCGTGTAACTTGTGTTCAATTAGTTACCTTGATATACTGGTCATGATAGATGCCTGGCAAGCAAATACATCAATACTTTCTTTAAAAAGCTTTGTTAATTCTTCTCTTAGCGTATGTGGTAATCCTGCCCCCATCCATACTCCTTGCTCTAGATTTCCCTCGTTTATTACAACTTCCTTTGTTTCATCCTGTGCTGATTTCAATCCTGGTGTCGCTATGTTTGCTTCTTCCGCTATGAATGTCGCCATGGGTGTTTCCAATGGCTTGCTGTGAATTGTCCCATACCCATTTGGTATCTAGAACCGAATTATACCATGGAGTTTTGATGCAATGACCTTAAACTTCTTCACGACGCTTCTCCCAAATATGATATTATATGGTGATAGTGACTGTATGGTTGTGAAATCCAACACATTCATGTTTTTCGGCATGTACGAATTGGTCTCTTAAAGTCAACGTGACATATAATATTCCTTTGGGCCATACTGAATGTCCCACGAAACTCGTTAAGTGTCTTGTTGGTTGTTGGAGTTTCATCTTTATTTGTTTGGTTAACTTCGAGAAACAATGGTCATACATTATTTCGGTTGAGCTCCCACTATCGCAGTGTATCCTATGGACACCTATGTTATATGTATGCGTCCGTGTATGAGTATTGGTTCATTTCCTTGTCGACCGGTGATGTGACTTGTTTGTGTGTAAAACATACTGTGTAGTCATGTGGTGGTATTTATCTCTTTACATGGTAAAGATTGATTTTTCCCTGGTCGAGCGACGGCCATGTTGCATACGTTTTATTGCCGTAGTCCGTGAGTGTCATTTGGGTGTCTCCGTTATGTTTTACTTCGACTCCCAACAATACAAATGTCACTAATGTTGTTACGGTGAATTCTAGGTGCATGTGTAGCTCTTTTCCGATGGGCATTGTCTAATAAGCATCCAAGAAATCACTCCGCATGAGACATGGAAATACTAGGTTAGGAAGCCATACCGAGGGTTGGACCCCGATATTGCTCTCCGATGCCTAAGTTAGATAGTGATCATATAATCGCTTAAGGATTTCCAGGGATGTTGCATTCTCATTTTCTTTCCTTGCTATCGTTATTTTGGGTGTATTTATAGGTTTCTTTAATCTTTTTAGTTCAATGTTGGATCTGGTCCTTCCTTATTGTCCAGTTAAGGAGAAGTTACCTTTTGTCCTTCCTTTATTATTTTTTTTACTTCAAATATGTTCCTTTGCACGAAACCTGGGATATGTTTCCCATGCCATCCTTTGTCTTCTTTGTGTTAGTGATATCTCCTGCGTTTGGCTATGGCCGACTTGTCCCTTTTCAATTCAAGAATTTGTGTACGATTATTAAGGTTGTGATTGTCGCATGGCAGGTTGTGGTTGTGGTTTATTGGCTTCCGATCTGGTGAAAACGGGCCGAGACTAAATACGCAAGGACTTGAAATCATAAGGACCATCTGTATAATGAAGAAACGTTAGGGGACCAAAACCAAGAATCTTGAAAACCACGGGGACCATTTATGTAATATATCATCTTTTTATATTAATTTACATTTTAAGCTAATTTACGAAGTAGTTTACCGTTAACTAACAACCAGCTTTTCAGCTATTCCGTCAAATATAACTTCAACATATTTTAAAACTAATTTTTTTTATTGAAGAGTTCAATGAGCATCAACAACTGAACGCCACTTAACATTATGATATGGTTAAGTTTAATATATTAAAAAAATAGATATTTTACATCGTATACTATTTGATTAAGTTATGTCTTATGGAAAAAGTTGATATGCTTCCGAACCAACTATTTTCAATTTTCCATAAACTTTTTGTTCATTATGTCCTATAATCAAAATATAAATTTTAATTATTTTCTTATGATCGGTTATAACAAGTTTACCAATTAATTTAATTTTGTGTGTTTTTTTTAGTTGCTAAACCCCTTTTTTGTACACCTCGGGTCCCAATTTTGTTTTTTATACCATTTTACGTTTTTTATACAATTATTAAGTGTATTTAATAGGGAGAATTTCATATATGTCATACTTAAACATCAAAATATTATATTTACCCAAACTAATTTTCAAATATCATATTCGCCATTCATAACTTTCAAAATATCATATAATTCTTTTTAATCATCAAAATATCGTATATACACTTTTTAAACATCAAAATATCATATACGTCATTTTTAAATATCAAAATATCATACATGTCATTTTTAAATATCAAAATATCATATATATCTAAAATATCATAATGTCAAGGGTAATATCTAAAATATCATCTATTTACAAGATACGAATAATCAATAACAACAAAAACTAAACAATCATGCATACATTCCAACGAGAGGGTTGAAGATTATGTGTTTTGTTTGTCAATAGGTCGACATTCAGTGTTCGTCAAACTATGATGTTTGTTGCAACATTGTTCCTTATTTCATACTATATTAGCAAGGTCCGTCCTCTCCAATAATGCCTATTTTGCTTCCGTCAAAACACTCATGTGCCATGCACATGAGGATATTTTTGTCCTTTTACCAACCCGCCAACGTGTGACCCGCTAACCCGAACTCGACCCATATGTGTCATCTTGCTCAACCGTAACCCATATTAGCCATAAACAGGTTAACTCGTATAACCCGTTTAATTATACATGTTCGCGGGTTCGTGGGTCATATTCTTGGTTATGGGAAAAAATCTAAATATTACATGTTTTATTTATTAGCCCTTGCTTTCTCATTTATTTAATAAATATATTTTTAATTTTTAATCTAATAAAATAAAACGGGTTCATGGGTCAACCTAAAAATTTATTTATAAACCTGAACACGACCCATATAATAAATAGGTTGACAGATAAAAATAAAACTCAACCAAACCTATTTATCCTCATGTTGGGTTCCTGTCGTGTCGAAAATTGCCACAACTAATTTATTTTAATAATATTTCGAGAATAGATTGTGTTTTTCTGACATTTGTCCCAAATATATGAAAGGTAAGTAAAAAATTATGTGTAACACGATGACTCAAGGTGTCCTTTTTTTTGTGTGTGTTTGGACCGGACTTCTGAAATGAATTTCGTATGGAAAAAAGTCGTTGTGGCTGATGAACATCAGTTTTTCCTTAAACAATTGTAAAAAATGATAAGGCTGTAATATTTAATTACATCACACATAAAATTTGGCTAGTTTTTAAGGAGGATAACATTTGATTGCAACTGATCATGAGTTAATCACTTGACTTTAATTTCTTAATCGTTTGAGGCTTCCTTGTAACCTAATCTCACATGCCTCCACTACTATACCTGCACCTGGCAAACTCGTTGCTTAATATTAAAAACACTTCGTGAGCATACAAAAATACTTAACACAGCAAGATTTCTCTTCATAGAGCCATGAATCGAACGCTAATTCAGGCAGCATGGAACGGGGATGTTGATGAACTACTTAAAGGAATCGACAAAAACCCATCTATGCTTCATGCCGTAGCATTGGAGGGTAGTGAGACTCCATTACACATAACTTGTTTCGCTGGACATGTCAACTTTGTATCGACAGTCATCAACCTGAGGCAGGATTTTTCTAGGGAGCTCAACCAAGATGGTTTTACACCTTTGCACATAGCAGCTGCTTGTGGGCATGCCGAAATTGTGAAGGAGCTTCTCAAGGTTGACCTTGGTTTGTGTTTGATCAAAGGAAAAGACGAAAAAATTCCTCTCCAATTGGCTGTGGTCAAAGGTAAAGTTGAAATTGTAAGAGAGTTGCTTTTGGCGAGCTTGGATTCTTTGGACTGTACGACTGCGCGACTTGAGACTTCGCTCCAACTAGGAGTGAAGAACAACCAGTTCGAAGCTTTCCAAGTTTTGATTCAGCATCTGAAGCAAGTAAACAAGGAAGATCTTCTGAATTCTAAGGACATTCACGGCAATACAATCTTACACCTTTCCGTCTCGATGAAGCAATATGAGGTACGTAGGTTAGCTATCTTTTGTCTAGTGTACCTCAAGTCTTTAGGTCAAAGTTTATGTTTTTGATAGGTGGTTGACTTTCTACTTAACGGGCAAGTTATCAGCAAGGATAAGATTGAGTTGAATTCCTTAAACAAAAGAGGTTTAACTCCTCTTGATATGCTACTAACGTTCCAAAGTGAAGCTGGTGATCGGGAAATTGAGGAGATTCTTGTCCAAGCGGGAGCTTTAAAGTCTAAAAACATACAATCTCCAGCATATCCACAAGAAGAAAGACCAAACCATCCTGACACAAGACCTGAAAACCCTCGATCTCCAGCTCGAGCTATGTTAGACTACTTCAAATACAATAACCTTAACGAATCTCCTAGCATAGTAAGAAATACGCTTCTTGTGGTTGTTATTCTGATCACAACTGCAACATATCAACCAGCACTTAGTCCTCCCGGAGATGCTTGGCAAGATGATTCCATTCCATCCGCAGGCAATAATACATTATCATCTACCACAAATATTACCGCTTCTATTAAACGACACACCGCTGGAACTGCTATTATGGGCACTGAAAATCCGATAGCATACAGTATATTTCTGTTTGCCAATTCCATGGGGTTCTACATGTCAGTTCACATGATTTACATACTCACAGATGCTTTCCCTTTGCAGTTGGAATTGCAGATTTCATTGGTTGCACTCGGTACAACCTACGTTGCTTGCATGAATAGTTATATAACCTTTGGTTTTATTGGAATTTCTATTGCTATGCCGTTTGGAATGCCAGTTGCGATCACGCTGTATAGAAATTATTTAAAAAAGCCTAGAAATGCATCGCCTCACACTACAAGAAAATCACCCTTTAGCGGCGACGCTATTACCGGCGACGGAGGTCTTTAGCGGCGACTCTAGAGATTGTCGCCGCTAAAAGCCCATGTCGCCGGTAATAGCGTCGCCGCTAAAGGGTGATCACCCGAATCCGCCTTTTCCCCTTCCGTTACATCTAAACCGTTCGATCAAATATCCAATCCAACGGTTGGGGTCCTTTATCCGAACTAACCTAATACCGGCGACATATGTGTCGCCGCTAAAGGTTGAAATTGTCGCCGCTAATAGTTCACTAAAAAATGACGCGGTACCCTTCCCTCCAGATTGTCGCTACTATTTATAAGTGTCGCCGGTAAAACCCTATTTGTCGCCGCTAAAGGCGTCGCCGGTAAAGCCTCTCGCAGATAAAAAAAAATGCACGCAGTAGACTTCATTCTTCCATATTCTGCTTTCTGTTTACCTTCGCTACCCTTCGCCCCTTCCAGCTTCTTCCGAGTTCATCTTCAATTTGCTTGTTCCATCCCGATTTCTCCCCACATTGTTTCATATTAAGGATATCAATGATGAATGTGTGATTTGGGACCGATTTCTAACTCAATTTCTTGAAGAAAGGTAATTTGATTTGATAATTTCTTTGATAATTTCCTTGTTAATTTGTATGTTAACACTGAAAAACTGTTGATTAAATTTCTAAGATTTGGTAATTTAATTTGTATGTTACCCTTGCAAATATTGTTGAAGAGATTTGTGACATCTTGGATGGCTCCCAGGTTTTGTTGGAGGACATTTGACCTTACAAGCAAGGAAACATCATCTTTACTGTCGATTTGTAGCTTCATCGGGTGAATAGCAGTTTTTCAGGCTACATATCCGTTGATTTCCGGCACTACAGGTTCTATTATTTCATTTTTTTGTGAATTTGTATTTGTATGTGAAAATTATGTGAAAATTGCCATATGTGAAAATTGTGTGTATATTTGATATTTATATGTGAAAATTGTGTGTATAAAAATAAATTATTGTTATAATTGCAAAAAAAAAAAAAAACACAAAAAAATGTTATAAATTTGTTAGGGTACTATACACATATTCATGTGTGTATTGGATATTTTTTTGGGGGGTTTGAACTTTGAATGATTATCCATTTTTTAAATCATGTCATTTTGATTATTGTGGCAAAGTGTTAAGAATCACATTTTAACGTTTGAATAGATGTGAATATAATAAAATTAAAATGATTATTTAAAAACCAAATTGTTAATACGCACCAAAACAAATATGATTTTTAGGAAAAAGATAAGAATTACTTATCAAACCTGTTTTAAATACTTTTAAGTCATATCTCTTTTTAGTGATTAACTTTTTAGTAATTAACTTTTCCAAAATCGTCCAACCCCGAAATAACGTATTTATATATGTTATAAATAAAAAAAAATATATTTTTTAATCTCGACGGTAAATTACAAATACTAGAAACAACAACACACAACATAATATGTCACAAATATATATATTTTTTAATCTTGACGGTAAATTACAAATATATATATTTTTTAATCTCGACGGTAAATTACAAATACTAGAAAGAACAACATATTTATAATGTTATAAATAAAAAATATATATATTTTTTAATCTCGACGGTAAACTATAATTGTTTATTTATTTGTTTAAAACATTTAGCGGTAATTATTTATTTAAATATATTTTATATGGTTAACTATAATTGTTTTTTACTTGGTTAACTTTTTTTTTGTAGACAAAGTTTGATTTGGATCAGATGTACTAGGACGTACAAGCTAATATGTTGACAAAGGGTTTTCAAGAAGCTTTGTTAAAAGGTTATCGAGAACGTAAAGCTGACGCAAAAGAATATTTTATGTTAGTTGGAGGGTATGATGATATCCCGAGAGCATTAGCCAATCCTCCGGAGGGTATGCTAATTGATAACTGGGCGAAGGCAGTTGAGTATTTTCAAACGGACGAACACATAATTGCTTCAGAAAGGAACAAAAAAGTCCAATAAAATGCAAACAAATGTGAATCGTGGGGGTTCGAGCTCGTATAGCAGTACTTGCTATAAGAAGGTACCTTACGATACATGTAATTATTTATTTAAAATATAATCTAATTTTTAAAGTTAAACAGAACCTTAAGAGAGTGGAAACGTTTCACAAAGCTCATACCGATAAGAATGGTGTATTTGTTACTGCTGAGGCGGAACAACAATATGTAAGTATTTAATTATAATTTTATCATATAATTAATTGTTTATTTATACTTAATTGTTACTCACTTTTGGGAGTTACAGAATCGGTTAGTTGAAGAGCTGTTAGAACAAACTCAAGGTGAAAGTGAGTTAACACCCGCTCAAGAAAGAGCTGCATTCGAGAAAGTATTAGGAGAGCGACGTGGCCATATTAGAGGCATTGGCCGTAAACCTTCTGCTCTCCCGCCGATTCCACAGCCTTCGCAACCATCACAACAATCATCACAACCATCACAGGTAAAACAATCTACTTTGGTTTTTGTCCCAAGTGCAAGAAATAGCAATGTACTTCGGTTTTCTATCTTTGTTTTAAAATAGCAATCTACTTTAGCATTGTAAAATGCATGTTGATTTGGTAATTTTGGTTTTGTGGTGATTATTTGCTAAAAAGTTTGGTAATTGGGTTTTTGTCCCAAGTGCAAGAAATAGCAATGTACTTTGGTTTTTCTATCTTTGTTTAAAAATAGCAATCTACTTTAGCATTGTAAAATGCATGTTGATTTGGTAATTTTGGTTTTGTGGTGATTATTTGCTAAAAAGTTTGGTAATTGGGTTTTTGTCTCAAGTGCAAGAAATAGCAATGTACTTTGGTTTTCTATCTTTGTTTAAAAATAGCAATCTACTTTAGCATCGTAAAATGCATGTTAATTTGGTAATTTTGGTTTTGTGGTGATTATTTGCTAAAAAGTTTGGTAATTGGGTTTTTGTCCCAAGTGCAAGAAATAGCAATGTACTTTGGTTTTCTATCTTTGTTTAAAAATAACAATCTATTTTAACATCGTAAAATGCATGTTGATTTGGTAATTTTGGTTTTGTGGTAATTATTTGTTAAAAAGTTTGGTAATTGGGGTTTTGTCCCAAGTGCAAGTAATAGCAATGTACTTTGGTTTTCTATCTTTGTTTAAAAATAGCAATGTATTTTGATAGTTTGTGTTTATGTTTGACAATATAACTTATAAGTTTATATATGTTGTTATTAATTATGTAGTTGGAAAATCTTCGTGCAATGCTCAGCGATCCGACATGTAGGGATGAGCTTTATTCGTTTTTTCAATCCCAAAATAATCAAGGAAACGATGGGAACGAAGATGGTGGTATGTAAGGATGTGTTTTATTTGCATATGTTGTCACGCTTTAATTGCTACTTGGTAGATTGTAAAACTTTGGTTGTTTTTTGTAATTACCGGGCGACATTATTAGTTTTTATATTTAATCGGATATTATGACTTTTGATATTTAATTGTAATCGGATGTTTGTTTTGTAATTAGCGTTGACACTATTATTTTTGATATTTAATCGGATGTTTGTTTTGTAATTAACGTCGACACTATTATTTTTGATATTTAATCGAATATTGTTATGTAATTACCGACGACATTATTACTGGCAACATATAAGTTGTGAAGGATCTTCTGAAAGTTGATATTTAATCGAATACCGTCGACTCTATATAGTTTTTTCATGCAAAGTTAAAGGCTACATATAAGCTTTTTAATAATCCTAATTATATATTTGAGTCTTTTTATGTTATTAATTGGGTATGATAATGCAATTAAATGAAACTCCAATGATTCTCGAGTGCTGTATTATGATATATATAGCATTTATACCTATACATGATAAGTTCATTTAAGTACAACAATATACTATAATTTAGGAATAGATAAGTGTAGATTTGGTTCATCATTCTTATTGGTAATACCCCCTGTCAAGCAAGAAGGTGGGGAACCAACACAGAACTTGGATTGAAAGTGGTCAAATAAGGGTTGTGACAGGCTTTTCGTAAAGTGTTCTGCCACCATTTGTGTAATAGGAATGAATCGAGTGTTTAACTTCCCAGAAGTGACCAACTCTCTAACAAAGTGATAATATATGTCGATGTGCTTGCATGTTTGTGGGCAAATGGATTTTGGCTTAAGAAGATGGCACTTTTGTTATCAGATTATAAACATGGCGTAGAAGAAAAAGTGGAATATGAAGCTCACGTAGGAGATGAGTAATCCAAATGATTCTAGAAGTTGAGTTAGTCATTGCTCTATATTCTGACTCACAACTAGAACGTGACATTGTAAGTTTTTTCTTAGCACTCCAAGAAACAATATTACCACCAAGAAAGATTGAGTATCCATAAGTGGAACGCCTTGTTTCGTTACAAGGTGCCCAATCAACATCCAAGTATGCAATAATAGGAATGGTGGATGATCTTCGATAGGTGAGACTACAAGAGATTGTACCCTTGACATAGTGTAGCATTTTTTTGTCAGCTTGGAAGTGAGTAGTAGTTGGTACATACAAGAATTGACTGACTAGATTTACTGCATAAGATAAATTAGGGCGGGTAATGGTGAGGTATTGCAAGGGACCAATGAGGGAACGATAGAGTTTGGTCATGAAAAGGTTCACCGTGACTTGTAAGGAATTCAGATATAGTAAGGGGAGTATGCACCGATTTTCCATCCAAAAGATCTGCTTTAGACAAAATATCCAAGGCATATTTTGTTTAAGTGAGAAATAAGCCATCGGAGGTATAGATAACCTCAAGACCCAAAAAACAATTTAACTTCCTCAAGTCCCTGATGGCAAATTCGTGATGCAATCAAGTAATAAACTTGTCAATGGAAGCCTTATTGTTTCCTGTTAAAATGATATCGTCAACATAAACAATAAGATATAGAATGCAAGACCCACATTTAAACATAAACAAAAAAGGATCGTCTCTACTGCAGGTGAATACGACTTGAAGAAGAAAGGAATTGAGACATTAAAACAAGGCTCTAGGAGCCTGTTTTAACGCATAAAGAG